CAAGTCAAAACAAAATATGAATTTCAATTTCTAAGAAAAACTATGGAAACCATTGGAATTAGTTTATGTCAGGTGTCTATTTGGTTCGTCCAAAATTTACAAGAAATTGCGTGGAAAAGGAGGAAGTGGAACCAAAATAGGTTTACAGACCATTACAATATTTCTTATCTCATGTTTGTTTCAAAAAAAAGGAAAGTACCCAAATTCTACGAATCCTCAGAATCATAGTTTTGAAGAGAAATTGGGCTAAAAAAAGGACAAAATCTAGCCACATCGACCAATTTTTTGGATCACCTCCTTATCTAATGCATAAAAGACTTATAGAACCTGAGGATCCAAACTCCTCGTTAGCCATGACACATAATGCCTTGTCAAACCTGACTCATGAACTGGCCTAGGTGGGTTTCTTGTCAGGCTAGTTTGGGCCACGACTTAGATGGACTTTAGTGGACTGAGCTGAGGCATATGTTCATATGTCTCGAAGTCAATGCAGCCTTGCCCATGACCTGCATAAGTATGGGTTGGGTTCAACCCAGCCATAAGAGTGCGGGTCACTGGTTGACCCACATTCTTTTTTTGTTTTTCTTTTGCTAGAGAGATAGTATCTATTCTAGCTTGAAGGGAGATCTTAGACATAGATTTTGATCAAAGGAAATTTGGGTGTCATGGTTAAGGAGATGATATCTATTGTAAAGAGAGTTTTATCAAAAGATGAAGTTGATTTTAGGCTTGTTTGGTTGGTTTCTTAGAAATCAAATAATAGGAAATTAATGGAGGAAACCATAAAAAAAATATCATTTCCACCTATTTTCTATAAATAAAGAAACCATGAAGGGGTCGTTTGGTGGTTGTGTGTAAAATTAGGTATTTATGACACTACATGGAAAGTGGTTGTCCACATTATCATTTACATTTGAGCTTTTACATTGTTTATTTTGGATTATATTGAGAATCCTCAAATGATTAAAATACACTGTTTGCTTTATTTAACAGATTGTAGGAAGATGGCCGATATATGGACCTCAACTGTGATGATAACTTTACCATATGTAAGTCCACCCCATCAAAAATTTATTTGAGTTATTCTCTTTTAATACCCTAAATTTTACATCTTCTTTAGCTTTGATACCCTGAAGCTTTTATTTAAAACTTTGATACCTCAATGTTTGCACTTTTTTGACTTTGATACTCTAATAAAATTTTCCCCCAACATTTCATATACTAAAATTTACACATATTTTGACTTTGATATCCAAAATTTACACACCTTTTAATTTTGATATCAGAAATTTTACGCACATTTTTACTTTGATACCCTAAACTTTGGTTATCAAAGTGTCAAAAACAATACACGTGTAAACTTTAGGGTATCAAATTTTTGGGGGAATATTTTTAGAGTATCCAACTTAAAAAAAGATACAAACTTAGGGGCACCAAAGTGCAAATAACCCAAAATACACTTCCAATAACTCATTCCCAATTGATAAAAATGTTTATGTACATGATATGAGTTCTCAATATATATGATAGAGCTCCTAGTCAATAGCAATGATAACACCTCCCTTAAAAATGTTCTAGAGATGCTAAAAATTGCATTTTTATCTTGTTATCATTTCTGTAAATTTATTCACATAAATAACAACAACTCACAATAAATATTTAAGTTCCCAAAAGGTATAGTAAACTTGATCCCTACTGCAAGATAATTGTAGAAGGCAAAATTCAACTCTATCAAGCGAACATTTACAACTTTTATCTCAAATTTATTAAGCTTCATCAACTACCCACATGATGCTTGATAAAATCAGAAAGCTACCCCATCTTCTTTATCATCACCACCACCAACCCACCGCAATCA